CAAATATGGGTGAAATCGGTTCACGACCACGCCTGAAATCTCGATTATCACTTTATCATGCGAGAGTATAAAATGTTCGGTGACACCCGAACTTAGCCCTTCCTTACTTGTTTTAAATTCAATCTCTGTCTTTCATTTTTCAGAAATCAAATTAAGCAACAATGAATATATCGGAAACTTTGCACGAAAAGTGAAATTAAATGGACAAGTTTTCTTAAAAGTTATGTTGCTTTAGTGCTGAATAAGAATGCAATTCCGATCTTGTATTTGACATTTTACATATATAATATATTCAATATATAGAACCTAGTCGCTTTGGTTGAGTTTAGAACACATATTTCTCATTTAAGGATAATTAGATACATAACTGAGGAATGCACTGCGACCTTAGGTCTATTGTGCCCAAGGATAATTTTATTGTATTTTCGTTAAAAATAATTCAAGTGAAATATATAAATAAAGTGAGCATATCACCTACAATATACTAAGTTAATAAGATACAAAGTTGATTGTAACCCATTCCCGTTGTCGTCAAATAATGAATATTGAATTCTTACGCAACATTTTAAAAAGTTCTTACCAGCGTCTAAAAGTTTTTTGTTAGGTTTGATCACTGCAAGTTGCAAAACCATAAAATATTCTCTTACACACGAACTTAGCCATTCCTTACATTAAGTTAAATATATTTTCTGTAAAAGCTGATACTAATAGAGTTTTCTCTCCTTACTTCGAATAGTCACAGTAATAGCTCGCGGTTGCTATGAGGACTTGGAAGCGAACTTGCGCGATAAATGTGATTTGAACGATCATCCGGAGTGTGTAAAATGTTTCGGTAATCGTTGCAATGACAAAGGACGCGCCGATTTCCAATGCATCGAGTGCAAGTCAAGTGAGGTAAGTGGAAAGATATATTTCTAGAAAATTATTTCAAATTTAATGACGTTCCTCTTATTCCCTGGAAGGATAAAAGATGCGTCTCCGACACCAGCGCCCTGACCGCCGTGCAATGTCCAGTGCCCACAGCTCAGAACTCTTACTGTTATGTCCGCGAGTCCAAGGAGGAAGGCATTACACGTGGCTGTTTTGTGCATCAGCAAGAACAAGAGGAGTGCCTCAGTGATGCACAGTGTTCCATGTGCTTGAGCGACGATGCGGTGGCTTGCAACGCATACAAATTGACCACAGCAGCTAAATCAGGCGGCAGTAGTGGACTTAGCAAAGCCAGTGTCACATCTACCGTTTCTTTTGTTTTGTTCGCTTTTATTGTGCGTTCATTATAAATGTGGGATTGTGTTTTATTTTTTAGTAGAAACTAAGTATTCGATAAAAGTATTCAACACCGAATTCTCGCGATAAGACGGTGTTATTAAATTTATTACCTGTTAATCTTCATATTCTGAGAATAAAGTAATTGTAATGACTAGACTTATTAAGGTATAAACTGTAAGTTCATTATCAAACAAGTTTTTGTATGTACATAAGGTACAGGGTGGTTATAAATGAACGAGTATGTGTTATAAAAGTATAGTTCCATTTGAATATGAAGCTCGTTTAATCGAAATAGATCTTTCGGTTACACTTGAGTTCAAGTCCAGTCTGAATATACATTTTAGCAATAAGTGAGCGCGAGAGTGAGTTAGATGAGCTTCTAAGGTCAAAGAAAGCTCTGTTTATAAGTAGTCAATTTTAGAAGCATTTTTGTTGATATTCGAGTAATGTTATATGGTGTTGTCACAGAAAATTTGGTTGAATCTTCGTTTGTGAGAATTTATTGACGAATATTATTGTTGTTACAGGCACATATTTATAAATCTTTCGCAGTTCTACGCGGATTTAAGTTACATTCGGGCTTATGGATTATAAAGGGTAATCGAGTGATATTTTGCTCCACACGGGAAAAAGTTTAACGCTGTGATATCACACAAACTTGGTGGCCAATCGACAAAAACTTGAAATTATCTAATCACCGAAGTGTTCTCTCAATAAATTCATTGATTGATGCGATGTGTGGAAAGAGGCGCAGTCTTGCTGAAACCAAATATCGCCGAGATTAGTCGGATGCCATTTCAGGCATCAAATAGTCGGTTATAATGGCGCGATAACGGTCGGCATTAAAAGATTACGTTCTCACCAACGTAATTTTTGAAGAAATATGGACCGTTGGTTCTACCGGGACACAAACTACACCAAACCGTTGTTTTTTATGGATGGAATGGCAACGCTTGAATATGATTAGGTTGCTCTTTGTTTGTATCAAATAGGACAATTTTACTTTTTTACATACCCTTAGGTATGGCAGGAAACACCAGCACACCTAATCCTGGATTGCACAGCAATCTGTAGAAAAAGGCTCAAGGCCCTGGATTCTGTCTACATCAGCAGGGATCACATCACCTCACTAGCGCTCGGCAAACTCCTGGAACTATTCAGGCTGCTGGGGCTCTGAGAGATCATCTGATATAGGAGAGGGCACAATAGACCCTAGGTCGCGGTGCATTACCTCAATAACATTATCTATCTATCTAAGTCTTTCCATGATAAAATGTCAATCAATACTCTGCAAAAATAACACGTCAGCTTGATACGACTCACGGGTAATGTATCAAAAAAAGACTATTGAAAAAATATTTCTATTTGGATCACCCGTTATTTCATTACTAGTCTTAATTTTTTAAATAAAAAGGTTTTGTATATAATATAAACTTTCTACAGTAATTGGAGCTGTCTCCGATTCGCCAAACGTAAATCTCCAAAGTATCGAAAAAAGTATACCAGATGTTCAAACAAACAGTTAGCACTTGTGGTGCAACCTTGTATTCAGACGCAATAGTTTTATATTATGATTCTTTCTTAGTGGAGAATTTCTATTTTTCCTGTTAAACCATTATTTTCGTATTAATCATTTATAATAGTAAAAGTGTATTTTTTGTTGTAAATTATTTGACAAGAGCACAGAAAAATTACCATTGAAAGACAGCTTGTCATTTGTGCCATTCACAATAGTAAAACTGGTCTAAAAACCGTAAAACGTAAGGGAATTTATATATTCTTTTAAATCGCTTACAACTCGTTAATTATAATCTTGGAACTTTTTCGAAAACTGAAGGCATCGAAACCAGTTTTCGACCGCCAGTGCCACATTCTGGTTTGAAATGCTGAAGTCATTTCTAAGTGGGTTGAACTTAAGTAGGACATTTTTGATTGCCGCTCTGAAGAAAGATTATAATACACAAGAAAGATATAAATGAAATATTTTACGTTTAATCATAAGAGAAGAAGTAGCTCTATTCATTTCAAAGTTTCACTTTGTATAAGTTTGGAATTTAATCTAAACTAACACTTACCTAGTTATTCAAAATTCTAATTTCTATTTTCTATTATTTTATTCGCGCTCTAGCTGATTTGAAGTAACCCCAAAAGTGCTAAATATATGTTGGTACACACGAGTATAATCTAGTAGGATTTCCCCGATTAATAGTTATTATCAAAAAATTAGCAAAAATGCCCTCGAAACCTAGAAGTGTGTTGCTAGTTCATATTCTCACGTTTGCTGATAAAATGTCATTCGCTTCGAATCCCAAAAACCAAAAATTACCGTTATGATGCATTGCCAATTAGTTTTATGGCTTTCTATAAACATATACCCATCATATTATACGTACTTGGAAATTTATGACAATAATCGAATACATATATGAAGCACTTTCAACAGAAGGGGTTTGACAGCAAAATCGTTGTTTTATCTTACATAGTATAGAAATTAATCGAAGATAAGTCAAGAAATGGAAGAACCAGAAACTATAATACTCTATAATCTACTTTAGGTAGAGTTCATTTTGCAAGTGGGCCATATATATGAGAATATAGGCATATAAATTAAAGCGGGACGATTTACAGGGAGCGAAACGTAAAATAGAGTATGTGGGGAAAAATTGACCCGGTCTAATATACATTTTCTATAAAATTATATTCTGAACTTCAAATAGTGTTGAAAGAGTAATTAGAGGTACTTTTTTCAAAAGAATTGTTTTGAGCGATCACACTTGAGTCGTATCAAGCTGTCATGTAATTTTGTTCAGTATTGTTTGGTATTTCGTCATGAAAGGAATTACGTGTAAACAAAGTTTAAAATGTGTTTCACGAGCTTCGCTCAACTTATGGTTAACATATTCGCCCTACTGAATGTAATATTCACAACCTAATCACCCATCTAGGTACCCAACATTCCTTATTGGACAATATCCGACTGAATAGATCACGTCTAGCACTCAGTGACGAAAATATAGCAGCCCTAGCTGAGAGTGTGTGCGGAGACCGTGGAGAATCATTTCGGTGACGTTCGCAGCAACTCGAGCTTACGTATGGAGCGACTTGGAACATTTTACGTCGAGGTTTCAAGTTGAAAACACACACAATTCAGCTTTTGCAAGAACTGAAGCCGATAGAATTTCCAAAGCGACACCGTTTTGTTCTATGGACTCTTGAAAAATTCCAGGAAGATCAGACGTTTTTAAGCCAAATTTTATTCAGTGATGAGGACCATTTCCGGCTCAATAGATACTAAAACATGAAAAGATTCAAGAGCTGTCATTTCATCCAAAATAATACATAAGAACGTAATTGCCTATGGTGACCGTAATATCGCCTTGATAATCAACTACTTGCCTCAAATTTAAAGTCGTGATCTCGACGACATGTGGCGACAAGATGGCGCCACTTCCCGCAGCAGTCAACGAATTTATTGAGAGAAGGCTTCGACGAGCAGATAATTTCACGTTTTGAGTCGGTCGATTGGCCGCCAAAATCGTGTGATATCACACCGTTAGACTAGTTCCTGTGAAAATACTTATGTAAAGTTTAAAGTCTATGCGGACGTAGTATTGTCAATGATAATAAGTATTCCCCATTAAATTTGAAGTTTCTGTGTTTTATCTTTAAAAAAGTACGGAACTTCGAAATGGATCACCCTTTACATATATACAAAGATGTTCAGTTCAGAACTTTTCAAAGTAATGTCAAAAGAATTTGTGATTAATTTCGTCTGTAATATGTATTTCCAGCACAAAGGAGACTTGGCTCTTGTTTTCTTCCCCCCAGTTGTCAACGAAGGTGGCAAAGATACTTCGTATAGCTTATCGTTTCATCTTATGGAATATTTGCTGAAAACCACTCATGAAAGCCACATATCTAATTGTAATATTAGCACCATGTGATGAGACACATAAAATATAACGTGTTCAAGGTCATCTAACAGTCCTTGAAAAATCCTTAAGTGCATATGTCTATTTTAAAGATAGTCAGATATTTCCCACAGGCCTAAAGTAAATCTGAAGTCATGTAAACTTTGATAAGAATTAGCTCACATGATGAACATTCAATTGGCTGGAATTCAGAGTTCTTTGCTTTGGTATTTTCACAATTTGTAAATGTAAAGTAACGTTTTAAAGTGCTTAACGATTTACTGACTGAAATCTGATTTTTTTTAAACGTCAAAAAAGTATTTGCACTTCACTTGGAGAGCAGCACAAAAACTTCAAATAAACCGCAATTCAAAGCTTAGGAAAGATTAACGGTAATTATAATGGCATTTTAAGCTTATCATATTGAAAGTTAATTTGTCGGAACACAAATATGTACTTCAACTCATTCATTATTTATTGTCGGCTTCATTAGAAGGCGTTTTATGTTAATCTAAAAACACTAGAAGTGCTTCTGAAAAGCTATTTAATTTTTTATTTGGAAAGAATACTTAAAAAGTTAACATTGTTGCCGCTGTTCCCTATTTTAGATTATGACGTGTCTGGAACTTCAGCTTAAGACACATCAAATTGAAGTTAAAATCGCTACTAGCATATTCGGTCGGAAATTGTTGTTTGCAGTTAGTACGCTCTTAAAAAATAGCTAAGGTCAAAAAATTTGATCTATTTTGCTTTTGGAAAGCTAGCTGAAATACTGGGCGATGATTTATGCAGCAGTATGCCTCAGAGTTAATATAGTTTTCCTTTAACGTTTTATTTTATGAAATGGTAAAGGACATTGCTATAGAGCTCTAAGTAAGGGTTTTTGCAGATCATATGCTGCTGTTTAAAACGATATTGAACATATAGAATTGGGAAGAAACCATCCGAGTCCTATTAAACTAAAGGAAGATTCGGATGGTGCAGAGCTGGGAGGTTCTAAGAGGTACGTCGGATGGTATATTTAAGCAGAAGTTTTTGCAATAAGTCGGCGCATAACGATAAAGCTCCAACGCAACTATCGCAACGAACTTATAACCATACTTAGCGATAGTCAAGCGACAATTAAAGCAATTTCTGCCTATGAGATCAAATCGCTACCGTTGCATTATTGTAGAGAATGGCTGAATAGCGAACCTGCCAAGTGCCTCATATGTGTGTCGGGTCACAAACGTATAGCCGGCAATGTACTGGCTGA